ATCTTTATAAACAATACCTTGTAATTTTGCTCCCCTTACTATTCCTTGTATTGCATGTTCCGGAATAGCCCACATTGGAATTTTTAAATTTACCTTATATGAATACTTTTTCCAAACTCTCAAAAGTGCAATCCTTAAAATATGAGATTTAAAAGCCCGATCAATTTTCTTATCAAAAAATAAATAAGCATGCCATCCAAAATATAAATCCCAACCCTCAAGTATCAAAATATCTCTATTAGTTAAATTAATCCAATCACTAATCCAAGTTAATACCACTGCTTCATAATATAATTTTAAATTAGGGGCTTTAAGTCCCCCTCTTTCCTGTGCATCTTGCAAGATTTTAAATAATTTTTAATATATCTATAATGAGTATTGTATAACCGTTTGCATATTTGCTTCATAGATAACTGATCTTTTTTTTAAATCAAGGTTGTTAGTGAAATAGTAATTGATGAGATAATGTGTTCTAGTGCTTGAAGTTTTGAATCAAGAACAGGGAGGTCATTATCGACATGAAAGCTCTCTGGGTGGCTTTGGCTCACCCTTCCTCTTTCTCAGTCCAATCACAGTGTCCCTGATGTCGAGGTAAAATTGGAAGAGGGGAGTGCGAGGTGCCCTGCCTCAAGTTCCAGGAGAAAAGCTGGAATGTAAATGTACCGTACTAACTAAGGATGATGGCTGTTTCTTCTTATAGGCCTAAATATTGAGAAATCTATTAAAGATCTTCAGCGCTGCACGGTTTCACTGACTCGATATCGCATGATGGTCAAAGAGGAGGTGGATAATTCAGTAAAGAAAATTAAAGCTGCTTTTTCTGAATTACATAACTGGTAAGCAGAATGGTTTAATGATTATTTTACAAAAGTTGCCATTCTGCTCTCACTCTATAAGGAAGACTTTTTTTGCTGCTTCAATTGACCCCCTCAATTTGATATTCCCGCACCTTCATTCTAATTAATTAGGAGTGGTCTATATGTGGGACCATGGAACAGCTGCTATCTGACCTGATGTTTCCCAGCTTTTTCTTTATTTGACCCACTTCATCACCAGCTTCAGGTTTTGTGGGACTATCACAAAAATCAGAAATCAGACATGTGGTATTGAAGCAAGAATGTTTTCCACATAAAAAGGGATGGAGCGGTGTAGTGAATGGCATTGTTGTAGACTAGATTTAGACATTTTTTATCCTTTCTCTCTTCTCCAATTATTTACCTTTTTTGTCTATTTCTTGGTTTCTGTGCTTTGCATGACATTGCTTACCCCCGAAGGGAATACCATAATGGCATGTATTATTGGTCACAGGTACCTAACTTTTAAAGTATCAGAGGCATGCACATTTGTCTAGTCTAATACATTACTGTGATATGCTAGTCAATCTCTAGCAAATAACAGTATATATTAGCAGTCTAAGCAGTTGAAATCTTAGGTGTCATTTAATATTAAAACCCTCACTTTTACATTATATAATATTCAGTAAACATTACAGTCAAAATCATTCTTTATGAGCTGAGAACTGCAATGCTTGCTTCTAAAATGGGGAAAAATCAGAAACTTGACCATACATTAGCTTAACTCTGCAGGTTTTGTTTCCGTAAAGAACAGATGTCAAAAAAGAGTCTGGCTGCACATTTCATGACTACTACATTTTATTCTAAGGGAGAAGCTTTCATAAGCAACAGGTCACTCCATCAAATGTGTAGAGTAGCTAAACTGAGGTAAGATTTAAATATTTGGGAGGGGAGGGAATGACAGGATGGTTTTGCACAGGGAGGTTCCATAGGGCACATATTATAGGTACATTATCCACTAACAATTGCAATGGCTTAAAAATCTATTGTTTTGACCTTTGAGATAACTTGAAACCAATTGATTGTAGACTTAGCTGTCTCATGCTCAATTGTGCATGGGTAGTTCCTTTGTTTCCAAACTGCTACTTTGAGATCAGTAACATCCAGGGAGGCTGAAATGCTCTAATATTACATTGTCCTTATCTTCAGACCTGGTGTTAAACTTATGTCCATTTGCCCAAAGTGTGGTCTTTTGCCTAAAGTAGAATAAGTAGAATTGCTAGCAGGTGGTGATTGATCTCATATTAGAGGAAGAGCATGTCTAAGTGAGAGGAACTTACACCTTACAAGTAGTTTTCAGTTAGTGATAGTAATTGGGACCAGAATTTCCATCATTAAGTAATGCCGTGTAAAGCATGTGTCATGTGACTGCCTCACTTAGTGACAGCAATACCAGCATTGTTAGGTAAGAATCATGGGTTGTTAAGCAAGTTCTAGGTGGCTTGCTATTAGGCCAGCAGGCAGGTAAAGTGGCTGCTGCCAGGCAGGAGAGAGTGTGCAAGGATCCCATGAAGCTCAGCGGAAGCACAGCAGGTCCAAGGGTAGCTGCTGCTGGAAGGAGGAGAGTGTGAACAACTTATTGGAGCAACTTACAATCTTCCTTGCCAGCTTCCCATTGACTTTGTTATGAGAAATTATCAGGGAAGGTCTAAAATGGAAATCATGCAGCAACAAGATACCATGCCTATCATAAGTGAAAGCCAGTTACCAAGGCCTAGGTCGTGATCACATGACCATAGGAGTCTGAAATGGCTGGAACCTCGAGGACCAGTCATAAGTACCATTTGTTCAGTGCTGTTGTAACTTCAAACAGTCACTGAAAAAGTGGTTAAACGAGGACGATCTGTACAACCAAATGTGTAAATCTGACAAGGTGCTACCGGATTCTTTTTTGCTCTTTGGCTACCTTAGACTAAAATGAGTCTCTTCCTACAATATCTACACTGTAAAGAACAGATATAAAAAGTAGTAAATGAGAGGGCAGCATAGTATAGCCCAGCTTAGAGACAAGAGCTCCTTGGACAGAAAAACTATTTTACGTTTGTGTGACTGTGTGTGTGTGTGTTTTAACAGGGGCCCAGTTTCAGTAAAATAAGAAAGGTTGGAAATAAGAAATTAGACTGTGAATTTTGCACTTACCTAACTTTGAGAACATTGAACTCCATTTGCTAGGATAATTTTTCCATGCTTGAGTCTTCTATTAAAATTTCTCTTTGCAGCCAGAATAAGAATGAGGTTTACTATGCAAATATTGAGCATTGTGCCAGTAGAATTCAATTGATATAATAATGGAACAGTGCTATATTCCAAACCATTGCAAAAATACATAATGTAACATCTATCCTCCAGAATCATAGCTGAATAAAAGGTGTGCTCATTTTTTTCCTAGCCAGGCAGCATTTCTATTCATCACTTATTCGACAGAGCTTCTAATCACTTTTCTATATCTGCAATCATACATATATTTGCATTAAGCACTCAAATAATTCTTGTCCTTTATTAGGTATATTCTGTTGAAAAGATGCAAAGTTTATGTTTTTGAAGGTATCTGTTTGAATATTTGAGCCACATTTACTTTTTTACATTTTTCCTAGGGTGACAAAAAAGTGTTAAAAGTTTCAATTTCCAAGTATTATGTATTAAATTAACACCATGCTTCTAAACTTCTCTAGGGTTCTTTAACGGCCTTTCCCCACAGCCCCCAAATGTCCCGACAATGTCTCTTTTTGCAGTTAGAACACCATTCTTTCCCCTTCATCGTGTCCACAGCCCATGAGTGGAGTAAGTTTTCTTAGCTCTGCTAAGTATTTAAGAAACATTTTCTGCTTTATTCCAACATCATCCAGTCTTAAGTCTATAAAATCTGGTACATATTTATCCTTATATTATTACTAGTATGAAGCAATGATGATAAAAATTCTTTATAGCATTTATAAAATTTTACTCTATTGCTATGTGGTCCAGAATCTTTATTTGTTTTCATACTTTTAAAAACTTTCTTTAGTTCTTCAAAATCTGTTATACTTCCTAGCTTCCATCTCATGTTTGATTCCTTATTATGTCTGATTATAGGTATTTAATACATTATCCAATTATAACTGCTTTAAGCACCTTGTATTAAATAGAATCATGTAGTCAAGTTTACAAGATTTTTTAAATTTCTGAACTTTATTGACATGCTAAGAATTCTGTCTCTATCTACAAGTATTTCACATTTCAAATTCTGCAAGAAGTGCAATTTGTGAGGACAGAAGGAAATACTAACTGCCAAACAGTGCCCCACATTTCTTAACAGTTGGACCAGCCAGCATCTAAGTTTCAAAAGGGAAAGATCTCCTTTCCCACATAGGAGGGAATGATGTCTTTGGTTCCTAGGCACAGTCAGATACCCCAACACTTCCCAATTCTAAGGTAACAAAAAACAAGTAGATTGCGGGAGCCCTCTTGCTTTCACTTACCAGGATTAGGGGAAGTGCACATGAGGTGTCTTTGGGAGATAAGTGAGGGCAGCAGTAATTAGCAAATAATTTGGAAGTAAATGCCGGTTTCTGGGGGAAAAAAGATTAATTATGCTCACATGACCACGGGACAGTACATAAGGCTATAAATGAGGGCCAGTTGCTGAGTGTATAATATGAAATCATGTGATGCAGGTGAGGCGCCCACTGGAACTTCAAATCCAGGTCATAAGTATCTTTTGGGGAGTGTGTTGTAATTCTGAAAATTCACTAAGTGATTAGGCGTTAAGTAAGGACTACCTGTATCCAATTTCCACACATCTCTGCAGCTATTCCAGTTCTCCTTGCCATAACTCATACCGTGTTTCCCCAAAAGTAAGACCTAACCTGAAAATAAGTCCTAGCTTGATTTTTGGGGGTGGGCCCAATATAAGTCCTACCCCCAAAATAAGCCCTAGTTTTGGGGCGAGCTGCATGCCTAAAAATTAAGCAAGGACAGGGATGGGGGGGAGCTTATCATTGCAGCCATGCCTCCCATGGATTGACACTTGCCTCGCCAGCCCACTTCTTCTGCAACTGAAGGAGAAGATTCAATCCGTAGCTCAGTTCTCAGCTGCAGAGGCCTTTCGGAAAGGCCTCTGATGGTGAAATGCAGGCTGGAGCTCCATTCTCAGCTGCAAAATGAAGCTGCTCTTTCGGCCGCAGAAGTGGGCCGGCTGGGCAGGGCTGTTGGTGCCGCTGCCGTGAGGTGAGTGAAAAAGACACCCCCCCAAAAATAAGACCTGGTGCCTCTTTTGGAGGAAAAAAAAAAGATCAGGTCTTATTTTCAGGGAAACGGTAGGAGTCCAGAAAGTCTATCTCATGCACAGGAAGCATTTCCCATCAGCTAAAAGTCAGTTCTGGATCATCCAATTCCAATTAGCAAAATGGACCAAAATAAGCATTTTCAGATATCTCTACCTGGAAGGAAAGAGCAACCAAGACAAATATTGGCCTTGACAAAGTATTTCAGCCATCAGCATCACAGTGGAAATTTGGAAGCTACACCTTGAAATAAAACAATCATTTAAAGGGCTTAATTCTAAAGCAAGTGTGGGAGCCTGAATATAGCGCTTTTTATCTTGCAGAAGATAAATTATGATAAATTATGATGTTCTACAACTGTTATTCAAATCTCATTAACCTGTATTAAATATGGGAAGAAGACAGTGTTCTGTAGCTAAACGTGGGATCAAGTGCCACGCAGCCAAAGGTATAACGCTCAGTTGCCCTGTAACCTTCTTTTGCCCTCTACAAAATCTATCTACAAAACTTCCATGCCTGCCTGGTGAATTCTAAGTTATAAAGAGAGAGACTTGTTAACATTTTAAATGTTTCTTAAAAGGAGTGGGTACTGGAGAAGGGTACCAGCTGCCCGCTGCTGCTAATGCAATAATTGTGTGAATGATCTTGGTACAATATCATGCTACTGAATATGCATAGAGTGCCATCTACAGGAAGACAATGACAGTTGTGTAAGTTGTTTCTTAAGCCGCGTATTTAAGTCAATTCCATCCATAAAACAAAATGTTCTAAAGAGCAAAGGGAGTAATTTAATGAAACACAATCAATGTCCCAAAGCACAAAACGTTTTACAAACTGAAGCAGCATCAGAGGAAGAAACATTCTGCCAAAGCCCAGAGGATCCTGGGATGCGTTTGATCGAACTCTTTTGTACACCGCTCAAAACATCTCTTTTATCCCTTTTCCTATTCTCTTGAGTTATAGTGCAGAAAAAGATGCATCAATGTGGCATTTTTTTGAGTCTTTAGCAATATACAGCAATACAGTAATAGGAAAATTTGATTGTGTGTATGGACTGGCAAGCCATAATGAGCTGATATATAGTATTTTCCTTTTAACATAGATTGGATGTGGAATTGTACAGCAGCAAAATATATTGCTTAGATCAATAAATGTCCAATGTGTTACTACTTTCCATATTTCTTCACATTAAGATACTTTTTTTAGAATACAAAATAACAGAATTAGAAGAGACTAATTTTGAAGTTTCTAAAATCCCATTCAGCAGGTTAAATGAACCAAAAGAACATCAGCAGAGAAGATAAAACCTTGTTCCGTCGGTAGAAAATATACTATTATGTTTATTAAATTTAAAAAATAAATTATATTGTGATATCATCAGTCTAGCTATAACAGTGTCTCATGAACATTATAGAAATGAACAATGGTTAACCCATTATAAAAACCTTTGATAGTGACTGCATTTGACGTACTCCATTTCAAACTAAGATATATATAAGATTTGGTTTAAGTCCACATCTAGTGAGTTTAAGGATCATATATAAGAATGTAACATTAATATAAATAACTGAACATACGTTTTAATGAAGTAATATGTTCGAATCTGAAGCAAAAAGAAAGCTGATTTCTTACCTTTTTATTTAAATTAATTTTCTCCAGAAAGCAACATTTTTCATAACTCTTACCATAAATTCTGTTTGAAAACCGTTTCTAAGGACATAATTAATCAAGTCTCTCATTAATATTGTCCTAAATTAAATTGTTTCCATTTTCAGCATAATCGACAAGGAAGTGGCTTTAATGGCAGAAGTCGACAAGGTTAAACAAGAAGCCAGTAAGTAGAAATTAAAATTAAAATGCAAAGTTTATTTCAAAAGTAACTTGAATATTGTATACATTTCAATTTGGCCATAAATTTCCCCAGCCAATATCGCAGACTGAAGAATAATTTGGCTGCTATACGTTCAACAGTTAAGTGTTTGGAACTTACCATTGATTGGAGAGTGAATAATGAAATATTTCTATCAGTGAAGATAGGTCCTTCTCGCTTTTTTCTTTAATTGACAAAAGTGTTGTTTTAACCATTCAGTCATGTTCAATTCTTGGCAATTTTATAGGCAAGTGCTCTCCATGCTACCCTGTTCAGCACAGTTTCTTTCAATTGTTGGATGTTCATCTTTCTATAAGTTTTGATGGTATCAAGCCAGTGTGTTCTTTGCTTGCCTTCTTGTTCCACTAACCATTCCTATCATCATTGACTTTGCCAATGAATTTGCATGCATGATAGTGTGTACAGGTCCACTATTACAAATCTTCCTAGACAGTGTGGTCTAAATTAATAAGATAAAAATATAAATCCAATTTATGATGTTGCTCCATATTTTTCATACTGGAAATAAAAAAATTGAGTAATGCTTGCTAAATATGTACAAGCAGTGGCAGAAAGTAAAGAAAAAAAACCCCTGAAATTAAAAGATTACTTGGGCTCAGGGCTATAACATCTTTGCAGAGGGCTGATAAAACAGTTACTTGGGGTTAAGTTGGTTTCCAATACTGCACCAACAGATTTGGGATGATTCCTGCCTCTCTTTTAAATCATTCACTTTTCTTGGGAAAGTCTAGAATTTTCCCAGGGTGAATGGAAAACTCTTAACATAGCATATTAACATAGTAATCCCACTCAAAGCTTTTTAGAGAAAGGCAAGATTCAGATAACGTAGCATAAGTAAACAAAGAAAGAAATCATACATTTATGGATCACTTAATTTTTCATAGTGGTTATCTCTTCCACGTGAACATTTAACATTTTGCATTATCCTTTTTTCTTTGGCAGTGGATATTTTGACTGCGCGTCAGAAAAAAGCTGAAGAATTGAAGAGACTAACAGATTTGGCAAGTCAGATGGCTGAGATTCAGCTGGCTGAATTGCGAGCTGAAATTAAGGTCATCTTTAAAAGGATATTTCTCTTAAAAATAAGCATAGCTATATACAAGTCATGTATCTCTATTTCAGCACTTAGAACCACGGGTTCTCACCACAAGGGCTCAAGCAAAATATAAATCTAGTTTTTTTAGAATGTCATCTTACTTAACTGTGCTATCTCCCTTGTATTTTGTAGTAAGATTTTGAAAAGTAATGCAGTATTCAGATTCATATAAGCATAGTAATATTCCTGCTTTTATTTCCAGTTGTATTAAAATTGCAGAATTCTTTTTATTTTCTTGTGAGCCTTGTGCTTTAATTCCCTTGTATAATTGTAGTTATTTTTTCCAGTGACAAATACTCCTTCCATCAAATGTGAGGATAGGGTGTTGTATTATTGATTCGGAATCAGATTTTACAATAGCATTTTACAAAATATAAAAAATATCCAAACTTTCTAAGATTGGAACACTTATCTCCTTAAAAAGCTTTTGTTCAACAAGTTGGACTTCAGTGTGATCTTCTAATTATTTAATCATGTGAGGCTATTTATAACAGTTACTTTTCCCTTCATTGTAGCACTTTGTAAGTGAACGTAAATACGATGAAGAATTGGGTAGAGCTGCCCGCTTTTCCTGTGACACTGAACAGTTAAAAATGCAGATATTACACTGTGGAGAAAGTAAGTTGTAGTAAAGTTTCAGCTTCTTCATTAATTGCTCTTTAAAACACTTGTTAGAACCATTTTCATAGCTAGTAAATATAATGTATACACTGCCTTTGGTTTAATTTTTCTGGAATTCATGTCAATATATTATATGATAAAATTTGTATTTTTCTTTGTAGTTTTCCATCCAAAAAACAATTACTCCTCAAGAACACCATCCACGATGTTCCTTCAGTCAGAAATTTCAAAATCAGTGGCCAGCACGCAAAATACATATAGCCGAAAATATTCTAATCAGACCCCTGCCAAGACTTCTGATCACAAAACAGCAACAACTAAAGGTTCAAGCCAAGTTATCCCAGTTACAGAATCCTCTTCTCACGTAACTTCAACAAATAAACAGGTAAAGGTCAAGGAAAAGGTTTTGTCTGTGAATCAACATAAAAATTATAAAGTTAAAAATTTACAACTGTATGAGAAACATTATATAGACACATAGTTGAGAATATTGAGTCAATTTCTTCCCAGATTCAGAAATTCTTTTAAATGCTGTATTATTAAAAGATTCTAAATCCTGCAACACCTTTGGATTTGATTTATGTATGTGACTTTAAGACACCTTTCAGCTAATTCCTATGTTCTTAAAAATTAACATGAGTAGAATAATATGTTCTTTTTCAGTCTAAAATGAGCTGCATTGATAAATGAATTGAAAAGATCATAATGATGGCTTAATATCATAACCATATATAAACTCTCTTCTGTCTTTCACTTATACCAACTCAATCCAGCTAAATGAAATGTCTCCAGAAGAATGGATGGGTGGATGGATGATGTGTTACTTCATTCTTTTGCAAAACAATCTATTGTTCCAGAAACAGTTTGTTTCGGAATAGGCCTACGTGTTATGTCCAGGTTTATTCAATGATGGCTATAAATCTATCTTCATGACTAATCAGTTTGGGGTTCTCTTGGAAACAATGGTTCCTATTAAAAGAGCAGGTGGCAACCATAGCTAGGGGTCCTTTGTACAAATTTATCTTGTGTGCCAATTGTGCCCATTCCTGGACCAGTGTTGCGCCCATTCGTGGATGAAAAAATATTGAACACTGAAAATGTTTCATTTTCCAAAACATGGTAGTTGAGCTAAGACAGGCCCAGTGCCATTTTGTCTTAGTGTCAGAGGAATGTAATTACAGTAGTAGCAATTCAAGCAAATTGCCAATTATTAGCTTATTGTTCTGTTATCTCCCCACCTGCCCTCAGTTTCCCCAAAAAGGAACTGGGGAAGGATATGATTTTATATTTCCAGCCAGTAGAGGCAGCAAGTTGATGGGGTCATTAGAGCAGCCTCAATGACTATGATGCTGACATGCGTAATATACTGTAATAGATAGGCTTTGGTACACATAATAATAATACTGCCCAACTTTTATCAAACTGAACTGGATGGAGGTTTTCACTGAAATGAGTCCTGGTGTTCTTTTTTCTTCCTGGACAGAATGTGCCTTCAGGTCCAAGACGAAGATTTCATGCACACTACCATGGCATTCGAATCAATGGTTCTCTCAAGCCCCAAAGTCCTGGTGATGAATCTGATCAGAGCAACCCAAAGAGTCACTCTCGACATGAATACCGACGGCAGTACCATCACAGCTTTAAGCCCAAAAACAGAGGCATGGTAAAAACTCAAGAGCAACCAACACCCATAAAAAATCTAGAAAAGGGAGCATACCCAGAGAAAACACAGCAAAAGCATCCTATTCCAGGCCCTCCAGAACCCAGTCCTTTGTGCAGCAATATTGCAAGGGGTTCTCCTTGTAATTTATATCCTCCAAAATTAGAGACTTCTGGAGAAACACCTGCCCTTTCAGTCACAGTGCCAGCTGTGACTTTGGTGGCATAATAACAGTAATCATCTTAATTTTTTCACTAAAGGTGCTTCTCCCCTCCCTTATTGTGTACTCCACAAATACTGACAAAATAGCTTGAGAAAAATATTACAATTGTGGTAAGCCAAACTTGCTGAAATTGTCTTAACTTTATCTTGTTTTCTACACAGAAAGCTTTGCTCAATATACTCAAGATTATTTTTTCATAATAATGCAGCTATAGCCAGCAGTACTTACAGATCTATTAGACTGATATTGAAAAATAAACTGTAAGAGGATGTCATTACAGATAATGTTTATTATAGCCCAGTTTGTTTTCAGTCATTCAGTATTAAAGAGCTAAAATACTGGCATCTGTAGAATTGGATGTTATGTAAATATGTAACATTTTTCACTCTTCCCATATTAAAATTCAACAATTGTACATAACAAATCTCATAGTTCTGTGCAACCTAATGTCATATCCAGAAAAATACTCAAGATCAATCATAATAGTAGAAAAACTATATATTAATTGTTCCGTGCTATAATATTTGTAAAATGTCTGTTTTTTCCATTTGAAATTTATATAGCTTACACAGAATAGTTTTTCCAAGCCTTTCAGTTCTTTTTAATGACTGATTATTTTTGTGGATTAAAAATTGAATGTGTTTCAGTCTGAGATTCTTTTTTCTTCGGGAGGGGAGTTATTCCTACACTTATTTGGGGAGTTCAAGAGGGCAAACTTAACATTCCCATTAATATTATTGCAACAGGCTACTTCTCTGATCCAATTACTGTGACAATCTTTGCTGGGAGGGGGGAATGGGGCAAATTCACCTTCCTTCCCATTAGTTATACTGTCTCAAACATAAGGAGTCTCATTAATCCTTGTCAAAGATTTTAACCATTATATCATACTACCTTTTCTTTCATTGATAACACATTTCTCACACTGCCAAAAATGACAAGGCTGGGGAATTTAGTTTTCTTTTAGGATTTTTATAGCTAGCTTCTATGCAGTGTCTTCAAAAGGAAGACACTGCTCCCATTCAGTGTCTTCAAAAGGAAAATTAAATACAAATCATACATCTCTGAGCTTAAAAGAAATATTTCGTTTTAGGAAGTCTCATTTATTGATAGTCAAGTGCCTCTGTTTACACAGGCCTGCCTTGGTCCAGAACACCAAAGCCATCCATTAAGGTTAAGGAAAGCCTAAATCTCTAAAAAGTCCCTTTGAATGAATGCCAAGAACACTGTTGCATATTCTATACAAACCTGACCAGCCCTTCTGTTCACATTACCAGGGCTTTTTTTGTCATAGAATGCCCATCGTTTTGGATGGAACCTTGTAGGGTAGGCAAGGCGGGTTGTATGACGTGTGAGTTCCAGCACCTTTTGTTTTTACAAAAAAAGCACTGCACATTACTATTACTACTGTTCTCTATAGCAATACCACTTAGACTTATATACCACTTCATAGTGCTTTACAACCCTCTCTAAGCGGTTTATAGAGTCAGCATATTCCCACTAACAATCTGGGTCCTCATTTTATCGATCTTGGAAGGATGGAAGGCTGATTAGGCTCGGAAAAACTCAGAAAAACTGCACAAGTTTTTAAAAAATTAAAAGCCTTGGAACACACCTAATCTAGTATAAATAATATTCTAAAATAACCAATGTTCCACATTTAATTATACTTTGTAATTATTTATAATGTACATTACAAAAATGAACACCAACTGACTACCATCCACCATCTTAGAGGATTTTATTAGAATATTTCTGTGGAACCTGGGATTGTTTTACCTCTCAAGAGGTAAAAGGTTTTGTTGTTAAAAAATAACCATCTTAAAGAGATCAGTCTTACACATTCCCCACTCAGCTAGCTATTCTGGAGACCATCTCTGTTAGTACTGCACCTCAGGGAAAGGGCCGAATGCTCACAGTTTGAGTGATCTGTAGAAGTAGCAGCAATTGCAGTAGATGGAAATTGCTGTTTAACTTTCTTCACAACTGATTCATTACAGAGTGGAGTCCGCTTCAGTTTTATCACCCGACCGGTTGCAAACTTTCTAGACGAGGGAGACTTTGGGATCATTTGGCCAACTCCCCCACGGTCAGCGTTTCTAAGAGAGGCCTGAGAATTTTTAGTCAATGGGACAGTCCTTGCATAAAGAGTTCTCGAAATCTTTTTGCTTATTAAAGAAGTATTGTTGCTAGGACACTTAAGAGCCGTTTGGGGAGGTGAAGATGCTGTTATCTTTAAAGAAGCTGAGTTTTTAACTTTGATGCAGGTACTTGTAGAGGGGCCAGAGAATTGAACTAGCTTTCGAGCTGTTCTGCTATTCAGTTGTCTTTCTTCCTCACCAGGAGAATCAATTATTCGTCTGTAAAAAAATCATTGTCCACTGAATCCAGTAAAGACAGAGGATAAGTATAATATTCAGCATATGCAAAAATTATTTTTACTCCGATATCTGCCTAAAATGGCACATACACATATATCAGACATTTCAATCATCAATGTATAAGGAACTAGGACAACATATTTATACTGATAATCATCTGTATTCGGCACAAACAATAGAAAAGATACATTCTTATTTAATACCAAATATAATTTCAGCATGTTTCCAAGTATATTTTTCTTATGTTCATTATTAAGTGTTACAAAATGGGCTTGCATTTTATAGCAAAGAGAATAACATGCATTTTTGTGAGAGGAGAAGGAGAAGCAGCATGAGTGTAGCATCTCTCCATTACTCATTAAAGAAGTTTTTACATGAGTCTGAAAAAAAGTTACTGCTGCTTTAAGAAATGCCTTCATTGAAGATTGATTTAAGATTATTCACTGCCAAGAATCACTTGTTGAGATGGACTATTCAAATTGAATTAATTAAGTTTTATGTGACTCTTAAAACAAAAGCACTTTATTTTAGGCTTGAATGAAGATCAGAAAAAAGTTGCACTATTTTAGTGAAAGCACAGCTTCCCTCACACAAGGTCTAAAACATTTCTTCCTAAAAACTTTCAAAACAGTGTTTTGTAATGTATTGTTTAACATATTCAATGCAGGAGGGTTTACTGATCCTTCTATAACACACTAACTACATATCACTTGGTAACACACGATTCTTCTATCAGAAGATACTGATACAAAAACTCAAGTGCAAATATAACTTTTATTCCACTTAAAGGCCACAACAGGCAAATGAACCACAATACCTACCGTTTACGTACTGGAGACATATTTTGAAGGCTTCCTTTCAAAGAATGCTCCTCAAGAGTCCAACACTCTATCAGCTCCTGTGGTACTCGCCAGTAGCTGGCACCTTGTAATTTCAAACATATCATTTCACAATATTCAAGATGCATAAATTTGGTAACTTCTACCTGAAATTCACTGATATGCAATAAGGAATGTGTTAATGCAACTGGAAACATACCTTTATTACAACAGTTTCTCTTTGTGTTCCCATAATTGAAGAGCAATATTCTGAATATCTTTTTCTATGTACAGAATTGAACTACATCCAGAATTACGTAAGGGAAGTTGCTGACATAAAAACGTGAAATCTTTTTCCTCATCTTTTTACTCAGTGATCCCAAACCTTTCTGGCTCTGTGGACCAGCAGCAGGTGGCGACGGCGGGAAAGGGGATGGTTTCATCCATACAACCTAATCCCGAGCATGCACTAATGGAGCTTTGCCATGCTCACTTGCCACTTGCGCGACCCAGTTCCCAACAGGCCGTAGACCAGGAGCAATTTGCGGACCAAAGGTTGGGGACCCCTGATTTTACTGCACGCATCCCAACTCTGGAATATTTTCAACCTGCTGTAGTAGTTCTGATTGTATGTGGAGGGAGGGAGATGTTGCAGGATGCAACTCCTATTTTTTAATTTATAATATTTTTTATCTTATTATCAGTTATTTAATTTATACTATTTTTTACCTTTCTCAATTTCAGGCAATTGCCTGAAGTAGTAATATGTTTCTAAAAAGAGAACAGAATAATGGCTATTATACTTAACTGACTCCTTTAGGCAAGTATGTGCATGTTTTCAAAATTCACAATATTTGTTCTGGCAGAAATGAATATTACACTATCATGCCAACACATGATATAAAGAACCCAATACATGATATTTGAAATGGTATTTCTTCAATTTCACAATTGATTACATTTTTACTATATTGAAATAATAGATAGTTGATTGTTTGAGCCTAAGTAATAATAGTGCCCAAGATACTGGTTTTGTTACATTAAGAGCCAGTTATTCTTTTTTCTTATGTTGCTGAATGAATAAAATGAATGAAAAATAAATGAAAAAATACCCTGGTTAACTTTCAACAGCCGACTCCCAACCATAAATACTTATATTCTTTAAAAAAAAATGCCATCTTCAAATATAGAAACACACACACAAAGACATACCTCTTCCTTCCCAAGCCTCAAATGCATCCATTATCTTCTTCAATTCTGTTACTGAATAGTAACTCCAAATGTACTGGATGTTGTTTCCAGCCTCTCTAGTAAAAAAAGTAGAAAAAAACAAATTGTTTTACTAAATGAAATGCTAAAGTTACTTTTTCATACCAAAGAATCATAACCATTTGAACATTCATTCCTATGATCTAAACCAGTGATGGCGAACCTTTTAGAGACTGAGTGCCCAAGCTGCAATCCCAAACCCACTTATGTATCATTGGGTGCTGGGTGGATGTGGCCAATTGGGTGGGCATGGCCCATTGGTTGGGCGTAGCTGCAGTGGTAACGGCAGACTGGGTGGGACTAAAAAGTTCAATCAATCAATTCCAACTTTGCGAGATCTTTTTTTTCCCCGTGAGAAGTTGAAATTGATTGATTGATTGAACCTCTTTTTTTTGCACACGGCAGCGGAGGCCTAAAGCGAAAAGGTTTTATAAAACCCAACTGAAGGCCTAGGACTGGGGCGATGGCATGCGTGCCCACAGAGAGGGCTCTGCGTGCCACCTGTGGCATGCGTGCCATAGGTTCGCCACCACGGATCTAAATATTTAAGATAACCACATTGTTGAAATTTCTCTTTAACAAAAGAAGTAGCAGCAATTCATAAAATATTCTACAACAGAAAATGGAAGGATATTAGGATTAATCTCAATTGGTCCCTGAACTGGATTCTCACATTGCATTAAACCATCATTAATTTTCATTATGGTATGAAAAAGAAGTTATAATGACTGAGCTCATACATCATAGTGGACCATAAAGCACAATTTATACATTGCAATTGATGACTCCATATTGTGCTGAAACATATGATATCTGAACCCAGAGATTGTGGTATATTCCAGAAACTATGGTTGAAAGCTATGGCAAATGTAGACAGCGTACTAAAAAGCAGAGATATCACCCTGCCAACAAAAGTACGTATAGTCAAGGCCATGGTTTTCCCCGTTGCAATGTATGGCTGTGAAAGTTGGACCATAAGAAAGGCTAAGCGACAAAGAATTGAGGTCTTTGAATTAAGGTGCTGGAGAAGACTCCTGCGAGTCCCCTGGACTGCAAGGCGATCAAACCGGTCAGTCGTAGAGGAGATCAACCCTGACTGCTCTTTAGAAGGCCAGATCCTGAAGTTGAAACTCAAGTACTTTGGCTATCTAATGAGAAGGAAGGATTCACTGGAGAAGAGCCTAATGCTGGGAAAGATTGAGGGCAATAGAAGAAGGGGACGACAGAGAATGAGGTGGCTGGATGGAGTCACTGAAGCAGTAGGTGTGAGCTTAAATGGACTCCAGAAGATGGTAGAGGACAGGAAGGCCTGGAGGAACATTGTCCAAGGGGGTCGCGATGGGTCGAACACGACTTCGCAACTAACAACAACATGTGTTTAAGTGAACTATTTTATTAATCCAAGTACCAGGACTAGATTACATTGTCTTCATTGCTGAATTTTGATAACACAATTTGTAGGACTAAATGTAGAATTCTTACTTGTTTAATTATTTTTACATAATAATTTCATCTAGCTATTCAAATAAATATACCTTATGCAAACAAACTGAAAAGACAGCAAGAGTAACATTTAGTTCTACCTCAAAATCACACAATTACATTTGAATGAATTACTGTTTAATCCACTGTATTTTCTGGGCAATATATGTTTAAATATTCCAGGCTTAGTTTTATTAACAAGAGTTACGATCCAGAGTACTACACAGACATTACAGAAGTAGAAACCTAGTTATACAACTGGACTTTCTCTTGATCTCCTTTTCCTATATATTCTTCAAACCTGTATCAGATGTTCTCAAATATTCCAAAGAAGATTTACTGAGTATGCAGGCATTTTCTAGCAGATGTTAGCACACCAATATAGAAACATATTTGGAGAGTGCTTAATATTAAATCTTTCGTGTTAATCTAAGTAATAATTATACAGTATATTCTTCTATCCAGAAGTAACTTCTGTTGTATTACATTTAATGGGACTACATCATTGTGATTAGATATAAGACTGCAATCTTAGCCAATTTGTATAAATAAGCAAATCTCAAAAAAATGACACTAGGAAAGATTTGCTTATTTTTAGAAAACTGCCACTATTGTTGAGCACAATAGTAGGAACCTAACTTCCTGGTAACTGTTGAGGAACAAGTCCCATGATGATATGTCACTGTTCACAATGACAGGGAATGAGTAATATTGAAGACTAAAGCATCTGGAGAATATCTGCCATTTTTTCTCTAAACAGAAATTGCATAATGAGTTATGTAAATTCATTTATAATCTTATGTTAATATATAGTCACCTGGCTGAGAAACTTCTCACCTTTTGTAGATATTTTTACTATTTATTCGTCCTCCTAGTTCCTTTTCAATTGCAGTTGTTCCATCAGCTTTTGTGGCATATATTCCAATTACTCTACTCTCACAGCTGGCACCAGAAGTATTGAGGTAATGCAAGACCCAAACTGTTGGTTTAGTGCATATTAAGCCATAAGAGTCACAAAAACCTATGAGTGCCTAGAAAAGGAGTACACCAATATATATATTCAATCAAACAATCTGGCTATTTAATATATTTTACATAATTTGAGTTATTAAAAAGTATCCAAAATATCTGCAGCCTACTTCTGTCAATGTAATCCTACTGAGTTCATGGCATTTTGCCACTGGTAAAAACACAGATATCTGCAGTCTTACCGCTTCTACTCTGAAAAATAGCTTAACGATACTTTAAGTAGTTATTCTATGTAGTCAATGTAATTTGCTAAATATGTAGACAAAATATTAGATTTTTATTAGAAATGTGTTAAGAGAAAATGCACTAATACTGAAATGGATTACTGAATTGTATTTACCATTAGTGATGGGCTATGTTTTAATATATGCATAAAAACATGCATACAAGTGTATGAAAAGTGTCTGTTATAATTGGATTGTGAGGATTGGTATATTACAACTGCAGATATTTTCTTTAGTCCTATCAACAATAATCTTTATATATAATGGCTAACTAATTTTTCAACTTATTCCCTGCCAGCCCATCCTAGACAAAGTGGTTTGTGGAATAAGTCCTAATAAAAGGGTAAAAGCTATTTTCCAGCTGAGAAATATGCATTACTTGTCCTTTATCAAATGTTGAGTATATATCGCAGAACAATTAAAGAACATAGGAAAATTCTGACCTTCTTAAGTTCTACATTTGTTCTTAAACAATATGTCTCCATTTCATTAGCTAGATGGTCAACAAGACTGTAAGGATAAGGAATGCCAAAGTAATCAGCTTCTTCTTGTAATGCAATTCGTGTTTCCTCATTTTCAGGAATCCAAACTTCTCCATGAAGATAATTTAAGAGATATTTAAAAAGATTGCCATCACGATCAATAAGGCATGCTCCTGGAAACAGAAACAAAAAATGTACACTACATTTTGTATACTGCCATTACTGTAGTGTAGTATGTTATATTGCCCAGTAAATCTGTGTTAACAAAAAAGGGAGTAATTAAAGTTTAATTAAAGTTTAATTTATATTAGACAAGTTGGACATGGTTCAACACATTGTATTAGATTAACAGAAGCCAAATCAAGTAGGATTACCTTATTGCAGAACTCAGAATATACTGGGACAATATCTAATCACACCCCCAAACTGTGCATTGGGCTTTAATTCAGGACATTTGTTTCTCTATAGAATGAAATAGTACAGACTGCACATCTGCAGAACAAGGGCATAAGAAAACTGATGCAAATGGAAAAAATCAAGAAGTGGTAGTCAAGCTCACAGGAAAAATAATGCAAAGTAGCCCACAACCAAGTTATCTTGTCATAAATGTTGAAATGCATTTGTTTGCCTTTTCAAAGGCTATTTAAAATTTAAGAAGCTTTTTACCTGAATTATCCATTTTTAAAGGAAACCTTCCACTGAACATAGCTGCTAACATTGAATCCTTAAAACGGCATAAAGATTCACATCTAGCTGTGTACATAAAGCCTCCAACATTCAGTCGAATAATATCTACCATCTTTTCAGACTTGCTGTCATCCATCACTTCTGCAGTTAATATTGTTGATTAGATTATGTATTTTGATACCTGAAATAAATTTTATATAAAACTGAATTTAGGAGATTAAGTAAGAAAATTAGCATTTCAGTAACATCATCACTCAAAAATAATAGTTAAATGACTTAAATTTTGTGCAGATGTTTCACTTCAATCCTTTGGACAATTAGTAGAAATTTCTTAAATGCTGAAGATGCATACCATCATAAGAATGCACATGCAGATCACACTTCTAACACAGCATTCTTAAAATTGTTGGGGATTCAATTGCTATAATTCTCATTGTGAATTGTAGTTCCAATGCCTTGTTCCTAGGTAACTTTTTCTCAACCACTACAGTGAAAGCAAATTGTATTCATAACGGAAAACCCAACTATTCTTATTTAACTTTAATCCTAAGAAACTTGAGTTACATTAATAGAACTACTGTATGTTAGGAAAGTAATGTTCCTACACTTGGAAAGACGTATTTGGAGTCAGGACAGACCATGTTCCTCAGGCATTTCTTCCTTTATCCAATATGCTCTGGGAGAAACTTGTGAAGTAATGTGCAATTCTAAATACTGAGCAGTTACAATTTCAGACTGAAATGCCATGAATATTTGCTTACCTGAATAAAAGAGGCATAGTAAGATTGTGAACCATAGCATAGTTTTCATCAAAATGCTAAATGCCAAGAGCTACATATGTTTTTATTAGAACCTCCTTTCAGAAGAGATCACCCAAGCTAGGGAGCCCTTGTAGGAGTGCCATTGTGGGGGGGAAATAGAGGCCAGCACTTTGTACACCACCTTGAGCTGCTGTGCAAGTGTGATTTATGAATCAAATAAATGTGCATGCTCTATGACTTTTCTAGACAAATACATTGAATAATAGCCTGCTATCCATAAAAACAGCCTGGGTTTATAAACTTGTTTAGCAAATAATAACAAAACATCTTCATGAGTACTTCAATATATGGGCTCCTATTCCTCTTCTTCCAAATATATTGTGCCATGAGAAAACACGAGGGGACTAGAAATGGAAAAGAATGTCTAGGTCAGTGATGGCAAACCTTTTAGAGACTGAGTGCCCAAATTGCAATCCAAAACCCACTTATGCATCGTCGAGTGCCGGGTGGGTGTGGCCCATTGGCTGGGTGTGGCCCATTGGCTGGGCGTGGCTGCAGTGGTAAGAGCAGACTGGGTGGGACTAAAAAGTTCAATCAATCAATTCCAACTTTGCAAGATCTTTTTTTTCCCCACGAGAAGTTGAAATTGACTGATTGAACCTTTTTTTTTTTTTGCACAAGGCAGCGGAGGCCTAAAGCGAAAAGGTTTTATAAAACCCAGCTGAAGGCCTAGGACTGGGGCAACAGTGCGCGTGCCCACAGAGAGGGCTCTGAGTGCCGCCTCTGGCTCCCGTGCCATAGGTTCGCCACCACTGGTCTAGGTCCAAATTGTCCAAATGAGATAGGCCTCCTAGAGAGCTTTGCCATGTCATTAATGTTTCTGATACAAATTAGGTCCAAATTAAACAGCAGAGTTCTTTGCTAGATCCAACGATAGCGTTTCTCTCCCTTCTAAAATTCTAAGATCCAAGAGGGAATTTGGAACAAACAATGACAAACTGTACAAATGCTGTACAATTTGAAGTATGGATTTTGGCCAGGCAAGCTGGATTCTTTACCTTAACCATGTCCAATAGTCAAAGAGTACAGAGCTGTTGTATTAAACAGTTGGAGGACATCAGCCTTTCTACATTGGGAAGAATCCAGACAGTTTACAGATCGGCAGCCAAGATTCCTTAGAAACCTGCTAAGTATCACCATCACATAAAGTTAAGTCCAGCTATCCCTAGGAACAATATCCGACAAAAATGCGGACAGCTCCGAAAAGCCAGCAAGGAGTTATAATTTTCTGCCTCTTAGCTGCCATCTGGTGGTTGGCTGGATTTTTGCAATCTTATTTGAAGGCTCCCCTGTTCCCCTGCTAAGTCAGTCAAGCTGTCTCCTTTTCCTCTTTTATGTACGTTTCCGAGGGCAGGGAAGACACACGTAGCATCCGGCAGGAGGGAGGAAGGAAACCCAAGCCAGTCCCTTCCTTCTTCTACAGGCAGAAAACAGCAGCGGCTGGAGGAGGAGGAAGAGGAGGAAGAGGAACCCGGGAGCACAAAGGGATCAGAGGGAAGCGAGGCCAAGGAGGAAGCCCCAGGAAACGCTCCGCTCGTGCGGTCCGTTACCTTCCTAGTCCGAGGTTCCGCCCAGAAATTTCGGGAGAGGCACGCGAAACCCCGCCTCCTTTCGCGCTACCCGTCTACCGCTTCCATTTCCAAATCCGGCGGAAAGGACGCAGGCGGAAGAGGAGTCACGCCCGGGTTGGATTTGAAAAGAAAAAGAAAGAAAGGAAGGAAAGTGCCCGTTTTTAAAGCAGCCCCCGGAACAACAACCTATGGACGCAACAGGACAACAAAACAGGACATACAAGAAACCACTTTGAAAAAACTGCTCCTCCCTCGACGGATCTCGCTCCGCATTTTCCAAGCTGCCTGCCTTGCCTCCGCGAGGCTCCTCGCGCGGCTAAGCGGGCACGAGGAGGATAAGCGGGCAAGAATAGGGCCGGCTAGAAAGCCAAAAAGGCGCTCAGTGACGAAGACAACTAGCCGAGCGAGTCTCTATAGACTGCAGGGGTTCTCAACCTTGGCAACTTTAAGACTTGTGGACTTCAACTCCCAGAATTCCTCAGCCAGCTTTGCTGGCTGTGGAATTCTGGGAGTTGAAGTCCACAAGTCTTAAAGTTGCCAAGGTTGAGAACCCCTGCTATAGAGCCTCAGCTGCCCACCGATCGCTCTCCCGCCGTGCTTTCGGATCGAGAGGGGTCCAAACTCCGTCCGCGCGCTAGTGTCCAAGGGCTGAATGCCAGCGCGTGCCTGAGGCACCGCAACGCTCGCGCGCTGTTGCGTGGCCGCAGTTAAACGGTTCTGGGGTTGAGCGCCATATCCCTTTCTCTTAAAGAGTGACGGAGTTATGTCACAAGCATCGTTCATTGAAGTGTCCCGGGTGAGAAATTATGACATGTTATGGCTCTCTTTTTTTTTTCCCCGTCAGGTGTCGGAATCACTTTCTTCCTCTCTTCTTAACATGAAAGTATTTCTTTTCCCACTTTTTTTTTCCACTGCTCCCTAACGAGGTTTGTGCACATAGGTGCACCCCACAGCATATTTTTTTTCTAGAATTCAGAAGATTAAACATAGTTTATCCAATGCACATATTGCAGTTCTTTCATTTGCTTGAATAAGGATTGGGCTTGAAGGTTTAGATCATCCCCACTATTTGTGGTTTCTAATAAATAAAGGGAACTTCCACAGAGGTAGAATCTGATCTGAATGCTAAAGTTCAGAAGTAGAAATTAATTCGCATGTGGAAAAAGAATGCAAATGATAACAATGTTTCCAGCAGTGGCTTTTATCATTCATGGGTCCAAGCACTTGTGCCTCCCATTTGCAATTTTTCAAGATTTTTTTTCTCAGAAAAAAAAGCCATTAAGCTAGGAAACTAAGAGCCCTCTGAAAGCATGGACAATTCAGAGCAGCTCAAAACTCCTCTCTACTGCAGAGATTTCCCTTTCAAACTCCAGTCACTTTTGTGGGGAAAAACTGGAGGAAGGAGCTTTGTGTACTTTACCTTGAGCTCTTGAATAAAAGACATAAATAAGTTTGTGTTATGGTGCTACACAGGATAGGTAAGTGAAGAGGCTAGTTCTTTCTTACGAAGCCAGAATAAGAGCTTAACTGCATAGGATCCTTGTGCTTTTCTCCTGTTCTCAAGTTGGAAGGAAAATAAATTGTAATATTTGGCTGCCCCTATAGGAGCCTTTTATTGCACCTGAGAAGATGCTGATAGATTTGCTGTCCTCACATGAGTAACACATAGCTGCTGCAAGCGGTGGCAGTGATGGGGAGAGAGTCTGTGTAATTTAATTTGGATTACCATGAGGCCTTGTTAATGCAGACAAAGCCTCTGAGATGCCCTCCAGAGACAGTATGTTTCTTCTGCTAATCAGAATGCAGCAGGTAGCAAGCCAGCTGCTCTCCCACCACGGGCAATCCATTAGCCTGCCAAAGAAGAACAGTGAGAATGACAAGGGGAGCATGCTTCAGCAACCCTGACATGCTGAAGATATCTTTGTAGACTATAACAAGAGTCCTCAACGTATGACCACAACTGAGCCCAAAATTTATGTTGCTAAGTGAGACAATTGTTAAATGAATTTTGCCTCATTTTACTACATTGCTTGCCACGTTAAGTGAGTCACTGCAGTTGTTAAGTTAGTAACACCGTTGTTAAGTGAATCTGACTCCCCCATTGACTTTGCTTGTCAGAAAGTTGCCAAAGGGGATTACATGATCCTCGGACACTGCAAATGTCATGAATATGAGTCAGTTGCCAAGCATCTGAATATTGATCACATGACCACAGGAATGCAACAATCGTCATAAGTGTGAAAAACAGTCCTAAGTCTTTTTTCAGTGCCGTTGTAACTTTGAAAAGTCACTAAATGAATTGTTGTAAGTCAAGATTACCTGTATATATTTGCCAGTTGCGTTCTTCTCTGGATCTTGAAACTCTGTGCTCAGTCACTTATGTCCTAGTCATCTCCCAATTGGATTACTACAATACTCTAGATGGGGCTACCCAAGAGTATTTGGAAGCTATAGCTGGTACAGAATGCAGTGGCACAGACAGTTCTGAAGGCCCCTAAATTGGTACATATAGCACTACTCTTAATAAGCTGCCTTGATTGCAAGTTTGCTTCCAGACCCAATTCAAGGTATTGGTTTTCACCCTTAAAGCCCTTCATGGCATGGGATCAAGTTATCTGAGGCGCCAGTTTGTTCCTTTGGGATTGGTCCATTCCACTTCCATAGGCACAAGAGCAGTGGTGGGATTCAGCCAGTTCAGTAGAACTGGTAGCTAATTTTTTGTTGCCCAGGCCTAGAATGGACTTCCAGAAGCGGCATCCACACAGAGAACTGGTTGTTCACATATTTGAATCCCACCACTGCACAAGAGGTCTTCTGTTGGTATTTTCAAGTAAAAAAAAATGGTCAAAGTCTGTTCACTAACATGGCTGGTATAACATACTGGCTAATGACCTAAAGGACGGAGTACTACATTTTCCACCATGTACAATGCGTGAGCAGTGTCTTGGGATCTTGTTGGCTTAAATAAGAAAAACTACTATTTTCAGGAACTGGCTTAAAATCATTTAAATTTTAGACGAAACAATTGTTCTGGTGATGCCAATGACGTGATTAAGAGAGAATACTAGTTTGCCAGAATGTCCTGAAGCCAATGTAAATTTAAACTGAAAGGACACAAAAGCGTTGTGTAAACCTCATAAATAATTTCTGTGAACTGCTCTGAGCTATAGAGAGATTTGAAAATGATGATCTTTTTAAAAATAGAAAATCTATGACTTTTTCAGTACAGTGTGCATTTTAATTTGATGACTGAATTGTTAAAGTGATCTCATCGTATTCTAAATATCATTATATTTAGAAACAAGACTATATTTAGACTGAATAATAGAAATAAATAGAATAAAATACTTTATATGGCCAAGTGTGATTAGACATACAAGGAATTTGTTACCTAACTCACACTACACAATTCAGAATATTTTTAAATGCAAACTTTAATATATATTTTTCATGTTATCCATTATTAAGTCTTCAGATAAATAAACCAAAGATAGAAATTGATATAATGCCTGAAGCATCTTCCCTTTTTACCATTGGAGGTATGAAAAAACATGTGATGGAGAAGAAGAATGGACCTCTAAAAGTTACAAAGCTGAATGCTTCTCTTGCATTTAAAATCAAAACCAAGATAATTAGTAAGTGCTACTTAAATTATAAGTAATCAGACTCATACTTGCAAAAATAAAATGTTTGAATTTCTGCAGTATACCTGTATATAGTTACCAAATAAAATAAAAACAACAAAAGGCAAAGAGCTAATGGAATGTTGGACCTATCAGATTGTCTTGATTATATGCCATCAAGTCGGTGTTGACTGTTAGCAACCATATAGATTTTCTCCAAGATGATCTGTCCATAATCTTTTGCTCTTCAAGTCTTCCATCAATGCTCCCTTTGCCACTGTAATTGGGTCTACCCATCTTGCTTCTGATTTCCCTTTTTCCCTTTCTTTTCACTTTTTCTCAACATTACTGACTTCTCCAGAGCGTGAAATATTTATAAAATGTGTCCAAAATATGATAATGTGAGCATAGTCATTTCAACCAATTCAATCAGAATAGAGCTGGAAGGGACCTTGGAGGTCTTCTAGTCCATACCCTGCTCAAGCAGGAGATCCTATACCATTTCAGACAGGTGGATGTTCAGTCTTTTCTTAAAAACCTCTAGTGATGAAGCACCTACAACTTCTGAAGGCAAATTGTTCCACTGCTTAATCTCACTGTTAAGAAGTTTCTCCTTAATTCCAGGTTGCTTCTCTCCTTGATTAGTTTCCATCTATTGTTTCTTGTATTGCCTTCTGGTGCTTTGGAAAATAAGTTGACCCCCTTTCTTTGTGGCAGCCACTCAAATACTGAAATACTGCTATCATGTCCCCCCTCGTCCTTCTTTTCTCTAGACTAGCCATACCCAATTCCTGCAACCCTTCTTCATATGTTTTAGTTTCCAGGCCTTTAATCATCCTAGTTGCTCTTCTTTGCACTTTTTCCAAAGTCTTAACATCTTTTTTATAATGTGGTGACCAAAATTGGATGCAGTATTCCATGTGTGCCTTACTAAGGCTTTATAAAATGGTACTAATACTTCATGTGATTTTGATTCTATGCCTCTGTTTATACAACCAAGGATTGCATTAGCTTTTTTGGCTGCTGCCGCACACTGCTGACTCATGTTTA